AATAGAGACAGCACGTCAAAATGTTATCTTCTAGACTGACAGGTAAAAGAATATATTTTCATGTGTCGTCAAAAAGCATTAGGAAGGCCCCAAAATCAGACAAACAGTTGATGACGCGCTCCTGGAGACACTGACATCAGGGTTATGGTATTTGGGACAGGGTTGGAGTAGTAGTTATTCGCAAGGGAAAAATCGATATATTACATGTGTTTTTACCATTCAAGATTCAAAATGTCAATTAATTTTTTTGTAGAAATGGATTTTTCTACCTGCATTCCCAAATCAGATATTTATTTGGAAACAGTAGCATAATACGAGAAAAGTTCTTTCTGATAATTTTGTATTGAAGCATTCATTATACTCATTATACAAAAAATAATGTGGATAGCTAATTTCGAAAAATAATTGAATTTTTAATCTTCTTATATTCGATATCCGCCATTTTTTTGCCTTATGATTTTATGTTTTGCCTTTTGAATTTTTTGTGCATTGGATCTTATTTTATGTTTTTGCTATCAATAATAAAATTGAATATTTTTGACTAACTAATTGACTAGTTAAATACCTACGGCCAGTTGTTTTGATCAAAGTTTCTGCACACATAAAAATATTTTATGAATTTTTTTTATAAAAAAATATATAATATGAACTACTACCACCTACTACATAGTCGAAATACTAATTATAATTTTTCTATTAGCAGAATAGATTATAGAGTTAATAGATTAAAAAATATATATATGGCGGATTGTTTATCAAGCTATTGCTTGCTTATAATTGTTTGCTTATTAATTACTTATAAATTAAATAATTAATAAATCAGAACTGATCAGAAATTGTATTGCAAAATATAAATCATAAAATTATTTTTTCTTTTTAAACAATGTGACCGAGATCATCTACCTCACCGCCGAAATAATATTTTTTAGTTATAGAAGAATTATTAGTTTTATCTTATTATAAATATGCTACAATTTTTTTTATTCTCTATTTTATTTACAACTATCCAGTTAAGGATATTTAATAAACTTGAGGAATTTACAAATTTACTAAATGTCCTTGACTGGACAGTTGTAAATAAAATAGAGAAAAAAAAAATGAACCACAAAATTAAGGACATTATTTTTAACTTTCCGTAAGGTAAGTGATAGTAAACGCTAAAAACAATAAAAGTGAAAATTTTTATATATTTTTACGTTTCATAGGTTTCTTAACATTTTAGCATTCTTTAGAAATAATGGACATATGAGTATGTGTGTGTTTGGATTACAATTTTCGCCGACGATTTCGGAAACACAGATCAGCCTATTTGAATAATTCAAAAAACATTCGATTTGTATTAATAGGGAGATGTGGTGGATAGTTTTTGGCAATGGCAGGTTTAGCCGTTTCGAAGATACGGGGTAAAAAGTGACAAAAATGGTAATTCAGTTTTTGACACAACTAGTTTTTATTAACTTCCCGTAGGGTAAGTTACAGTAATCGCAAATAAATCCAAAATGAAAATTTGTATATATCTTTACGTTTCAGAGATTTCTGAACATTTTGGCATACTTTAGAAAAAATAGATGTATGTGTGTGTGTGTGTTCGGATACAAGTTTTCGTGGCAGGTCTAGCAATTTTGGAGATCTAGTAAAAAAAAGTAAAAAAATGCCATTTTGAGGTCAAAAATGATCATTAGATGCATATCAAATTATCAGATATTTTATGGAGATTTTAATAATACGTATAAATTTTGTTTACATATCTATGAATTCCGGAATATCGTCTACCCGAAGACTGCGAGGCGGCGCTTACGCGCTTCGATTTTACGTCTGTATGCAGCTAAAAGCTAATGGAGGGCGATTTGAAAGCAGGCTTTGAAAAAATGTTTAAAATTTTCTGAAAAATTTAAAGAAATAAGAAAAAGAAATAATTTCTTTCAAAAATTTAAAATTTCTCAAAAATCTAATTTTTTCAAAGCTTAAAATTTTTTTTTATCTTTTTTAAAAAAAATAATTTTTGGTACGGGAAGTTCCAGCAATTTACTTTAAGGCGTGATTCCATGCACCATTAGTTCTTTTATAATTTAAAATAAATCCTTGACCAATGCGCAGCCCTGATAAGTCCATATAAACACGGAATTTGTTACGACCGTCTCCTGTCATTAAAGGTGGGTCACCGTCGTTCGAATTCAGGCGTTCAACAAACAAACAAACAAAAAGGATGGGCTACAAAATACGAAATACGAAATATGAATCTGTACAGCAATCGCATCGGTCCAGCCTGGTAATTGTTTTATAAAAACATAATGATTACAACCAAGAATGTGCTTTAGTTCTAGATGTATTTCGTCATTAATGCAGTTGCGAGCACGTATAGAGCAATTACGTTTTTTACGGCGACAATGTGGATTTATTGCTTCACGGTCATACGAGAGATTTCATGGCATCAAAGATATAAAAGCTTCGAGATGTATGTCCCGAAAATAATTGCGAATATGAGGATTTTATTAATAATAATTGTTCGACATGCATCGAGTTTATGTCAGTGCATTGCATTTTATGGTAGTATAAATATCTCAACGAGCATATAGCTTTGAAATTGGACGGAAATTAGGTCTCGTAAATTCAATTATGATTCAAAGAATTCAGAGTAATTGCACTTTCATGCCATATAACCTAAGGATTGCAAACTCAGAGCGTGAGATCGTATAATCCTAAACAATGAGAAGGAATAAATTAAAATTGACAAAAATTGCGATTGTCAATATCAAGTTTTTATGGTAACATGCTGTAAGCTTTTTCTGATTTTTTCTTAAATTACTTGTAGAGCCACTTAATTTAATTTAACCTTCATTAAATTTTGCACATAAATGGTAATAATGTTTATTTCATGCATAGTGTGCCTTCAATTCCATAATATATATTTCTCAAAACTCTAGAAAACTGCTATAATCCTTTTACGTCTGTTCAGTATGTGAATTTTAATAAATTTTGTTAAAAAATGCTAAACCGCATTTCTTTCTTATTCAATTTCTCCCAGCATTACTCATATTATTTCTAAAGAATTTTTTGTTTGGTTGTTTTAAAAAATCAAAAACTGTTCGAAAGTTAGGAATGATATTGATTAGTTGTAGGTAAAAATCTGCCGAGACGTTTTTTAGTAATTTATTGAACAAAGTGGATTTTAATGGAAATTTTTACGGCGATATATATCATGGTCTTATAGAACTTACTGAAATACTACGGCCTTACGACAAGTAGTTTAATAAAAATTTATCAAAGTTTGAGAAAATAAGTAGTCTTTTTGACGTTTGTTTAAATTTAAATTACTTGGTTGAAATTACTAGATCATTAAAGTCCAACGGAAACTGGTTCAATTATAAAAATTATTGATTTTTGAAAATTTGCTTTTAGAAAATACTCCCAGTTAATTAACGTGTTTGTTCGTTTTTAAATATGTGTAATAAATCCACTCGGAATACTTTTAATCACTCATAAATTAATTTATTTTTATTGATTTTATTGATTATTTAAACATATCGGGAAGTTCATGTAACTTGCCTCAATACCAACTAGTTATTACCTGTATACCTTCACGTATTTTCTTAAGTATAATCTGGATTTTTCATTATTTTGGGATTAGAATATTGGTGTGTTTTTTTATATATTAATCTTTTTTTATAATTTTCTCAACAATAAACAAAACATTCTTTATAATTTTCCATTCTGTTTTATTATTTGTCAGCCAAGGTTTCCAAAAAATTTTGTTGATTTTTTTGTTTTATCATAGTCGTAATTGTTAGACATATAAATCTTAACTTTTAAAAATCTTAGCAGTTATCTGTTAAAAATTCCAAATTTATTTGTTTGTATTGTCAAATTTGCAATCCACTTGTTTGTCCTAAAAAACTATTCCATGCCAACCATGGGACACTAACGCACCATCCAAAGACTTTAATTTATTAATATTTATTTATTTCTTACATAATCTCATATTTTAAAGAATTCATGGAAGACAAATATAAGTCTATTAAGAATTGGTCTATTGATTAAAAATTTCTCTTTAATTTTTTTCAAACAATATTGACCCTGGTCGAATGGATTACTTTATTAACACTAGAAGGGGACTTAGGATTTTATCATATTAGTGATACTAGACAGGTTTCATATCTGTTTTAATATAAACGCTTATATCTCTATCACATCGTAAGTATCTTTCATTATAAACTACTAAAGATTCTAGTATGATCTACGCGTTCGATCGTAACTAATCTGGAATGATGTTTACTTTCAACTTCGTTTTTAATCCACGAAAATAATTTTTTATGTCGGCACTGGGTTGAAGGAACTGGCACCTGCGTTCGAGCAACTATTACTACAAACGCATATGTAAATTTATAATATTTTGGTCGAATGCAACACCTGACACTTTATTGTCATGCATACTTTTTAAGAGTTTATTGAGATACTTATAAATACAATATTTATGTCCAGGACCGTAGTTGATTTTAATCGGATTATTGGACAAATCGCCTGATTTGCTGCGCACGAGAGGGTTCACTAAAATTTTAATTGCGTATGGTCGGAATCACCAAAATCGATATGAATCAACGATTATAATAAGAATTATGGGTTTGAATATATTTTGGGTGCGTAATTTTTATAAATGTGGTAAAGGTCATGTCAAGGCAAGCTTGATTAAAAAGTAGTAATAAAAATAATTTCTAAAAATATATAGTAACTACGAATAATACAAATTATTTCAACAAACTTACGTTTCTTACACGGACAGATTTTTCATTTGTTTCATTATTTTCACTATATGCGGGGGCATACTACGTATACGCACACAATCAAAGCAATCATACTCACGCGACACGACGACCAATCACAATCGAGCCGTATAAGAATGATATTATCGAGAGCGAATGAAGAATCATTGACACTCAAATATATAACATTGTTTTATTATTAAATTGTATACATAATTACAATAATATATATTTTTATTCCAGGTTGAAAGATTAGCACAATACGATCGTCTGGTAGGTGGAGGAACAGCCTGCGACACAGATCTTGACAGGATTCAAGAATTGTTCCCAAATGATTATCTAGCTTTATACGACAGTGATGCACCTTCGGCCCAACTACAGAACAGTGTGGTAAGTTAATTAATTTCTACAAACAATAATTTTTTTTTTGGTATAGCGAAGGAATAGTCTTTATGCATCCCAGACTAGGTCTTTTGTCTGCGTATGTCGGATTCAATACCGCCTGGGTATAATACCGACTAAAACCTTCGCTTTGCCCTTATCTCTGGTCCCCACGGAAACCGCTGTTAGGCATTACTTTGTGGGGGGAGGATCTAGAATGTTAAAATTCTTACCTTGATTTTATACTTAGATTTTAATTCTGCGAAGTCCCATTTGCCCTTTCTTTTTCCAAATAGTATTGTGGATGTCGTCCATTGACGACGCTTGTAGCAAAAGTGTTAATTTTGGCCGTTTTTGTAATGATTTTCACTCTTTAATAAACTCATATACGTGTATTTTCAGATCATGATCGAAAAATAGTAGGTATCGTTTTTCTGTTTCGTATTCATAATAATTTTTTCTATATTTTTAGAAACATCTTATTAACTTCACAGAAGATGAAATCCGTGATGTATATTTTTCCTTGTTTTGACAGATTAATGACTACATAATACTTATTACCTTGAATTATACAGAAAATCATTCATTGTATAAGTTAAAAGCTTTAAAATTGAAAATTCTTAATTTAAAAATAGATTGTGAAATCTCAATGTAGTCATCGAATATGGAGTGGGTTCTCTTGAAGAAAAGAATTATATAGAAATGTTCTGATGAAAAGAGAAGTAATGTTGACTTAATTGTTTTGATTCACGAGAGATAACATGAACCCCTATATTAACTAATGATTATTTGGTATTCTAATATAAATGATTTACCTAACTATATTTCTGTTTCCTTTAGATGTACTCTTCAGGTGACCCGGATTTGAATATTAAATTTAAATTGAATTCAAGCAATTATTTCATTATAATATAATCTTGTTTATAATTACACGGTAGATGCTGTCAAATCAAAATTCTCTAAAATAATAATTATATACAAGTCATAAGAACAATTTCAGTGCACATAGCAACATGTGTGTCAGATAAATGGGCGTACAATATTTTACGCATCATATAATACATGGCTAATCAGACCAGTTCCGTAATTACATTAATTAAGCGATTTAAATTATGTAATTATAAAAGGCGTGTAAGTTGAGAAAAATGCTGTGAACTCGACAGTCTCCGAACCGGGCCGTTTGCTTCGTGAGGTCAATAAAATATTCTGTTTATTAATAACTTCCGCGTTTTCAATAGCGGATTGAGACTTTTCAAAGATTGTTATATAATTTACTTGCTACATGTATGTGCAGTAAAATATCTATTTACATAATATTAACAAACATCAGTATTAAAAATCATGTTCAATAATATTATTTCTATTGGTTACACCACTGGGCGTATCTACTAACATCATAATATATTACTCTACTTAATTTTATAATCTGAATAATTTTCTAGCAATCTTTGCTCTTTTTGGTATTGAACAGATTGCAGTAATAAAGTAATTAAAAATAATTATAATCATAATTATAATTTTTAAACTAACATTGTAAATCTAATCTGATTGGATGGTTAAACAAAATCTATTTCAAATATTATTCAAGTTAATTGCTTTTCAACTAAAAGTTTTGAATTATTTTTTATTGCCATTATGCCCTTCACTATGTGTAGAATTAAATGTAAAAAGTTATAGTGCTCAATAATTTATATAATTAATTTCTATCTTCCTTTTCCAGAAAATAAAGACTCTTCTCCGCAAGCGACCAAGTCTGGACCTAGGTCTACTAGGAAGTAGCAACAATGGAAGTTGTCAACGATCGCCCAGTTCCCATAACTTGTCAAATAACAATAACAATAGCAAGTCACCTTCTTCGGGAAATGATAGCAGTTTGCGGAAAGAGAGAAGATTTCTGATGGAAGCACCATGCACTTTTTCAGCCTGTCCAAGTGCTACCGGATCACCAGATTCACCAGGATCTGTTCAAGGAGATCCGACAGCAGCAGCTCCTACAGGGTCTACGCAGGATAGGCACTTATTTTTGTTTACGGATCTGCTGCTGGTGGCAAAACCACGAGGAGGATGTTTCAAATTGAAGGTAATGATAAAAAAATCATACTTATTCGAAAAAACAGTATAAATATTTATAATCTTACTATTGCGCTTTTTGGTATAACAATGCGTAGGAATAAATCGATAGGTACCGAATAAGTACCTTCTTTGCATTAAAAATTTGGAGCAACTTCTTATGAACTTCTCCGTGGATTAGTGGTTAGCTTTAGAACTTCAATCAAAGGTCTCAGGTTCGATACTCGCTTCGGGCAGTCGAATGTCAAGCAGTAGTGACATGGGTTTTCATTTGGAAATATGTACCCAAGTACAAATAGCCTCATTGCTGCATCAATAAAAAACACTCACTATTACAGAAATTTTAATAATAAAATTTACATAGACATAGGACAACTGTTCTTGGTTGCCATTTATAAAAGATAGTTTATAATCATGATTATAAGATCCTTAAATGGATTATTAATATGGAATTATAATAATCCTCCTTCTTGGTGCGACATTGGTGCCACATTTACTTTAAATCTATCCCCAATTTAAGAGTCCTAGAAGCTATTGTGTTTGAAATTCTTATTAGATTTTCTCTTTTTACCTGTGTTTGGCAACCCAAAATTTATAAGTTGAAAATTATAGTTGCCAGATTTTTTATTATTATTATTTATTTAATAGTGATAACGTATGATGTAATTTTTGTTTGCAAAGACCATTTTCGTATAAATATCACAATAATATTTCGTATAAATTCGTAAATATACAATGCAATGATGTCCAAATTAAAACTTTATACAAAATTTGAAATGTTGAATTAAAATTAACTTATTAACTAGTGGTGTATAGCATCACGCCTTAAGGCAAATTGCTGGAACTACCCGTACCGTAATTAAAAATCTTGATACGGAACCCAAAAAAATTTACACAAAATGTGTACACTTTATTAAAATCTCTATAAAATATCTGATAATTTGATGTACATATGTCCAATAAACATTTTTGAGATTTTTTAACTTATTTCTATCGAGAGTCCATGACCGCTGGACTTGCCTTCCCAAAAATTTAATCAGTTTTTCATCTTGTCAATATCAGTAAAATGTTTTTTGAATTATTAAAATCGGACACTCCGTTCTCCTAAAAACTGAGTTACCGTTTTTGCCACCTTTTGCCCCGTATCTTCGGAACGGATGAACCTGCCTTCGCCAAAAACTAATCAGCACATCTCCTTATCAATACGAATGGAATGTTTTTTGAATTATTCAAATCGGTTGATTCGTGTTCCCAAAATCGTCGACAAAAATTTGTACACACACATACATCCATTTCTTTAAAGGTATGCCAAAATGCTCCGAAATTTCTAAAACGTAAAGATATATAAAAATTTTCATTTTCGATTTTTTGTGATTACTATAACTTACCCTACGGGAAGTTAATAATAACTGATTATAATATGATAATTTTCCACTGATGATTAGTCTGTTAGTGGATACTTGTGCCAGGGCTGCACTTAAAGCGCCAAAATGCTACATGAGGCCTCAGAGTGCCGACCAATGTCTAAGACTTCAGTTCCATAAAATAGACGTTCCCAAGTAACACCAGCAGTGGAGCTGCAGTTTCGGATGGTAATTTTTTTCATCAGTCTATTGCATTCCCAATAGAACATCGAGTCGCAGTGATGTTGCATAAATCTGAATTTCAACTTATTGTTACGAAGAAACGTACCCCGTCGGTTCGACATGAAACGGATGCAAATTACGACTCGATGAACAACGGCGAAGAGAAACAGCTCAGTCACGAATATACCAGAGTGTTAATTAGTAGTGCCGTGGAGAAGATTTTCTTTAATTAGTATTACAACGATCTCAGGATTAGCAGATCACCTTAAGTGAGTTCGGTTATTAATAAGGACGAAGCATTTCTAGACGAATAAGGAAACGACTAACCATAGGAGGTAATAATTATATCATACGTATGCAATGCTACTGAAGGGAGTTTACTCGCTAATCTTAGTTCTAACTAGTAAATCCAATGTTTATTAATTTAACACTAAAGGTTTATACTATTTGAAGTTATATATCTTCATGTAAACAAATTATAGCGAGTTTTCAGATAAGAATTATAATTGTTTCCACCTAACTCGATGATATTTTACCAGTAGTCGCAATATTCATAGCTATTTTCTAAACAGCTTCTGTCAAAATACTCTGCGCAAGTCTCTGTTGAAAATAAGTTGCTGCTATATAAATCAATCATTAAACCGATCTGGACCTACGGAATTGAGCTCTGGGGATGTGCTTACAAATCAAATATAGCTATAATGCAGAGAACTCAGTCAAAAATTTTACGTACTATTCTTAATTCTCCGTGGTACGTAACAAATGAAACCATTCACAGCGACCTCAACATGAAAACGGTGCATTTAACGTTCAAAGAATTCAAGGAAAAATACAAACGCAAACTGGACTCACATTCGACATTACTAAACCTTATGGCAAAAGGAGATTGAAACGACACTGGCCTTTAGACTTAGTCTTAGATTAGGTCTAATATAATATTATCATATTAATTGTTAAACTGAGAAGATCTCATTGGAGCTCTTCTTAGGCATCGCTCTTAAATATTGTCATTTTAGCTAATAGGAATCTTTATGTATTTCTGATTGCTAAATAAAACGAGTTAAAAAAAGTCTGTGTTATCTCAAGGGAGAAGCTTATTCGTTGACCTCCTGTACAATTTTATCATATACATTTCGAAAGTTCTAATGGGAATTAAATGAACGTATCTATTTACTAACAATGTGCGCACACAGAAAGTCATTACGTAATTTATTCCTTTGCGAGCAACGCCGAAGACTCGGGATGCACCGTGATAATGATGCGGTTATTATAATATTTCTTGGTACTTTTTATCACAGAGTATATATTTGTGGCTAGACTATCTAAATTAATATTTAAATATATGAGTGTATCGTATATATACATACACGTTTATGAAAAAATCTTGAAACATCAGTAGTATCGTTAGAAATTTCAGTCATTTGTAAATAGAGGCATACTGTGGTAAATTGTTTATCTGACATTATATTGAAATTATTTATCAAATTTATTTAAACATTTTTTCATTGTATATATGATTTTTTTAAATTGCTGCTGATTCAGTCTTTTGTGTATTACTATTTTTGCATTTTTAGTTTTAATTTTTTTTTTAGTTCCACAGAATGATGGGTAGGTCTATAGTCAAAACGTATGGTTATTCTTTTATTTTCTTAAATAACAATTCAGAGACACTTTGATCTTATAAGCAATTATTTTGCACAATGAATAAAAAAATGTATGTTATAATAAGAAATTTACTTCAAAGAGAAAAAGTCCAAAACCACATACTTTTTCTCTTTGAAGTCTCTTTGAATTTGATGATTTTACTAATAATTTTTTAAAGAAATTTATGTTTATTATGATGATGATTCGATGAACCTCAAATTTAAAATTATACAATATTATATATGTAAGTATGGGGTGCCCCAGAACTCAACGTCAAGCCGCAACGGGGTGATAGTATTGATAGTATTTAAAAAAATTATTTAAATAATCTTCCATACAGTTTGCAAATTATGAGCTTTTATTTACAGCCTAAGCTTTGGTCAAAATGTTAGCATTTTTTGGCTAATTGGTGGTTAATTTTTATTTTATCCGGTGAATATCAAATTTAATAAAATTATACAATAGTGTATATGTATATACAGGGTGTCCCAGAACTCAACGGGGGTGTTAGTATTGATAGTAACCATTATGAAAATAAATATAAAAACGATATTACATGTAGTTGGCACATTATGAGCTTTTATGTACAGCCTAGAGCTTTTGTCAAATTGTTAGCATTTTTCAGCCATTGTGGCTAATTTTTAGTATTTTTGTTCCTTAAACTTTGGAACTGTAACCGTAGGATTACGGTCAAAAATAATGACACAATTGCTCCAAGTTTTCTAGAATTAAGACTATTTATAACACTATGAATTTAATTTTTGTTTATTAATGAAATTAATCAACCTCAAATGATTGCAATATGGTGTAAAATATTTGTTAGTTTCATAATAAAAAATCGAGTAAATTTTTTTATATATCACTATTACACGATTTTTATATTAGTGTGCATTGGAGTGTAGGTATATAAAACTGCATTCTTGGTGATCTTTTAGCTATATAATTAAATACAATACTAGGCAATAAAATGTACAAAGTAATAAAATAAGTAATGAATAAAGCATAAACATTCCATTAATTACATTATAGCAAATAAATATAAGTTTGCAATTAAAATATAATAATAAATTAATTGAAATCGTTTAATAAAATAATATCAATAATTTTAAAAATTTATAATTATTAAGTTGAGAATGATTTTATTGGATAGTGTTTGTTACATAATGAAAATTAATTTATTAATTAATCTACTTCGAATCTATTAACTAAACATACATTATTATATAATACTGTTACTAGCGCATATTGTTTAATTTTTTTAAACAATATGCGTTGAAACGTAAGTGAAATATTTTAAAATTTGGTAATGATTAAAGTTGACAATAACATTCTTGTATAATAAAATTTCTTAATTTATTGAAAATTACTTAATAAAACCCGGGACAATCCGAGAGAAAAAATCTGAATACTGTACAAATATTGATTTTAGAAAAACCCGGGATACTAGGTGGAAATCTGGGACTGTCCCGGCCAAATCTGGACGTATGGTCACCTTCATAAAATGTCACTTTCACCCAGTTTATTAATCGTCTTGCTTATTTATGAAATATTTATGATCTGATATAATTAGAATAAAATATATCTCGAAATAAAATAACGAAATGATTATTTAACTACATTAAAACGTGGTTTCTAGCAATCTCACTCCCAGCAATAATGCGTGGTCCCGCGTGAGAACGTTCGGCTGTTCCTTTTGTAATCGCTCATGTGTAAATGCGATGCTCGTAGGGTTACAACTTACAACTTACAAGACATTTTATTATTTCCACAATAGCGCATGCTTAGCAAGGTTGCTCTCAAGATTCATCAAATATAATTACACTAGCGCAATGAATAAATATTTAATTGCGTAATTAATATATAATACCACAACAAGAGTAAATCATTACTTGAATAATAATCATTATTAATTGCTGTTTCCCACAGACTGATTAAAGAAAAATTGCTGAACCGAAAACATATGAACGATAACACAAATCGATTAGAAATCGACGTCGAAATCAAATACAAGGAATTCCAGAGATTAAGATAGTTCACACGTGCATTTATAATAGTTCTTTACGAATTAAAACTAGGCTGGGGTTTTCAACCTGTGGGGCGCGCATCCTTAAGAGGTCACGAGGTTGTTGCGAGGGTGCTGTTTCCAACACATTATTTGTTAAAACCTTTGATTCAATTTTGAAATGAACGAATAAATGATTATTTTTTATGTATAATTCTACATAATATTGCATATTAATTTATAGTGTGATAATTACATTATAATAACAGTTGAGTATTTATTCTTCCCTTCCGTCCTTGAACTTATTTATTAATTAACCATTCCTGGTCAAGTTAGCTAGAAAAGACCCAAAATGGGTTAAATAGGACGATTTATTATTGTTTTAAATAATTTCAGTACAAAATTTCAAGTTAAACATATTATTTTACTATAAACACTACTCTAAAGTGCAAGGAAGGTGAACGCACCTGTTGCATTCGGCGCCTGGCTATTGACAACGGTCTCACGCAACATATGCGTGCGTAGCAATGAAAGTGTTGTTAATTCCTGATATGTGTAAATAATCGACTTCTCAAAAACAATTGAGATTTAGCAAATTATAAAATTGTGACGATAAAATTAATAGTTTATTTTGAAAATGAAGTTTATTTTCCAAACTTTTATGAATGTTTTAATTAAACCATTTTTAGCAGGTCTATAATATTTTAGAATGTTCTTTTAGACTATATGAAAAGTTTCATTAAAATTGTTAAAATAAATTTTGTCAACGATTGATTACGAAAGAACAACCTGTCCGATATTTACCAAAAACTTATTAGCACTAATTCCAAGTGGTATTGTTTGAACAGTTTTTGAATTTTCAAAACTGTTAAAATTTTTTGGGTAAAATGTGTATGATTTTCTTTTTACTTCTTTGAAGAAATTGCTCAGAAGATTGTCTCGCAAAACTAATCAAAACGAGTGCTTATCGATTGTCATCAAATGGCTTTAACATTTTTAAAATATGTCAAGCTGGAAAAACGTCAAAAAATCGTCAAAATTTAGCCTACATACACAGACAAACACTTTTTTTTCATTTTTGGTGTCAAACGAATCAAAATCAATTGAAACGTCGAAAAACGTTGAAATCGGATTTTGTGGCGTAAACAGACTTAAGAGAGTTTATTATATCTTATGCATAGTTTAACGTTTTACTGTTCTTCAAGTATTAATTTTTTTGGTAGAGGTAAAAGTATAATATAAAAGCCTTAAAATGTAGTACAAAAATCTGATGTATTTTCTTAAAAATTGAATTATTATCAGTAAATCTTTTATATCTTTTCAGCTTAAATTTTGCACAAAATTCAATTTCATATATCATAGGTTACAGTAGGTTCAATGAATAGTAAATTTACTTTTCAATAGACTTTTTGTGCTTTTTGGTTTGAACTGCTTAATTTTTTTTCTATTTTCAATAGCAATCAGAATGCAATATAATTCTATGAGCTATTTGGCTTATATCACACTTTCAAACACACATAAATTATTGTGATAAATATTATATCCACAGTTAGAGAATCACTCCAATAAGTGAATCACCAATACTGTTCATTTGTGCAAGGATATGGTAGTGCCAAATCTCATGAATATTATCTTTGGGAAGCTTCTTCTTCAGTCTTCTTGAAATTGGTGTCTCAAGACTGCAGAGTTTGAATTATGTTTTAGTATATGAAAATGTTTGACACTGTTAATTTTTATAACTCTGTTTATAAATTGAATATGAAGATCGGCGTGTAAGGTCTTATTGCTAACGAACCATGCTGCATCAGTAATCTGTTTTAATATTTTCGATTGGGCACGTTGCATTAGCAATATGTTGGATTTGCTCGCACAGCCCCTCAATTCTATACCATAAGTCCATATTGGTTTTATTACTACCTTGTAAATTAGAAGTTTATTAAGTTCATTTCGTCAATACAAGTAATATATTTTTTGAATTATTAAAATCGGACGTTCCGTTCTTTAGTTTAATTACTACCTTGTAAATTAGAAGTTTATTGTCAATAGATAGAATTGACTAGCGTCTCAGAAGACAATATAGTTCAGTGGTTCGAATTTTCATGGTATTTATATTTGAACTGCTTAATGACGTCCAGAACAAATATTTTTTTTAATATGTACTTTTAATAAAACTACCAAATATTCTTTCAGAGTACTTACAAAAATAATTTCAATAATAATAATTATAAATAGCCATAACATCTTTAACTTTTTTATAATAACTTTAACCTTCTTTTCCCTTATATTCCCTGACTTTAATAGAGATTCAGTTCCTTACTGTTTTTTTAGTATATCAATCAAAGAGCGCATCAAGACGAACTATGTTTTCAAGTGACTGTTACCATACTTTATGATTAAATAATTACATGTATCATTTTCAGGAATGCGTTCGCTTATCAGAACTGTGGGTTTCGGCTGCCGCGAGGCCGACGTGCTGCTTACTGGGTTGGGCAAGAGGAGCTCAAGTGACCACGGTGCGTTGCGCCTGGGGCACTCAAGCCGCGAGGGACACTTGGCTGCGCGGCTTGCAGGCAGCCCTTATTGCGACACTGGCAGATGAACCACCGGAAACTAATATTCAGCTACTCTACAAAGACCCTAATGGAATGGATTATGTGAGTTTTTATTTAAAACTAGCCGGCCCGACAGACTTCGTCCTGTCAAAAAAAAAAATTTAATGTGGCGGTGTTTTGTGCCTACCTTTTTTCTATTCTTTGCAAAAAATTATCCTGAACAGAACCGTCACCCTGGTAATCATTCGGTGTGAATTAAAAATAATTAAATAAAACACTATAAGCATTCAGAAGTAAGTAATTTTAATAATGTAAATCATAATTCAAAAATCAGTTTAATTTTCATTGTAGTGCTTTGTGATAAACGATGTTTTTTGTTTGATTACCTGGCGCATAGGCAAACAAATCTGATGGTTTTCCAATACGGGAACAAACAACATACAATTTTCCATGTGAGAAACATGGGTTTTCTAAATTAATACCACAAACACTTAATGATACCATAAACGCACTGGAAACGCATTGGAATGCATGGTGCGAGAACATCTTCTACTTTATACTATCCTTTGAATATAGTTGGTCGATATTTCGCAACATTATAATTGTCGATCCAACCTTTAATTGAAGATTGTGAGGTGACAATCCTAGCAAATCCAGCGGGTTTAAAAACTCCGGTGGATCGTCTTGGTTAGTTGCCGAATCAACTGATTCGCCTGTAATTTGTTCTTGAATTTTGAAATTTAATTCATTTACATCAATATTTTTGGCTGCCAATATAGCTTGGTTAATAGAAAGATATTTCTAAGTTTATATAAATATATTCAAAATTAGGTTATCAAAAACTACACAAAATGTCATGACATAGAACATTGTTTTTTTTACAAATTGCGTTGCCTACTCGATTAAAGAAGAAAAGGGATGTTTTTAGGGTTTTCCCGGCAATTATTTGTTTTTTTCTCGCCGTAACAACCATCCTTGGACTTCAACGAACATTTTAAAAAAAGAATTGGCCAAATTGGTCCAGGCGTTGTTGAGTTATGCGCTTACCAACACATTTTGCGATCCATTTGTATATATAAGATTTGTTCAAGCAATATAGATTGAGGGACCGATTCTGCCGCATTACACCCCAATGTTATGGCAAGGCTATGTTATGGAGAACTTTCTATACTAATTCGTTTTAAATATCGACAAAAGCCATGTGGTTGCTGTGCAGTCAAGCGATTTTCTCGGGTTATCAAATAGAAAACGTTCAAGTATTACATAAGCACTATAGGGGGCGGGGGTTATTGATTTGCTTATTTTGCTTATTTTGGGTAAGAACTTTTGCTTACTTTTGCTGACAAAGGGGAGGGGGGGGGGTAAACAATTGTAATAAATCTGTTTACGTAATACTTGAACGATCCCAATGTCAAAAAAACGATCTTAGATAGCAGGGTCTTTCTGACCCAGCTTCATAACATACGAGTGACGTGGTTTATGTGTAAAAAGCCTGAATGCACAGCAAATACATGACATTTTGAAAGTATTCAGTATGATTCAGTAGCACAATGTATGGAAGATGGAGCGTAACATGGCCTTGCTATAATATTTGTCTGTTGCAGCAGAATCGGTCTCTGAATTATCTCAACCAGACTTTTATAGCACAGCAGACAAAGATCTAAAAAGAGAATTTTGATAACATTCCTGATTAATATTACTATAGTATTCGGATTTATTTATAAATTGATTTAATTTAATTGTAATAGAATAATTGATTTTGATATCGGTCTTTGTTTTTTCTTGATTTTCTTGATTTTTACATTCAATTTGTATATAGACTTCTAGATTTTCAATGTCATGAACAAATATCTGCAAGGTGTATTTTGACAATCTTATATATAAAATTCTCCTCTACTGGCGTATGATTTGATACTTCTCCTAAACGGTTATTCGGATTTTGATAATTCTTTTTAGAGTTTGTCAAAGGAAATTTTTAAGACTCATTGAACGATAAAACTATAGTAATATTGTAGAAATAAATGGTAAAAATTACAAAAAAAACACTTTTTGTCATTTTCAACATTTGAACTGTCATCTGCTAGAAATGTCAATTAACTTGAAATTTGAATTTAGCTGAAATTATGAGTCTAGATAATATTAGAATATAATATACAAGAAAAATGTAATGTCTACATTATATTTGCTGAAAAGCAGCTGAGATATGCCAGAAATTAAAATATTATCATATATAGTCAACAGAGTTTATGTTGGCAGATGAAATTATATAATTCAGTTTTATAAATTCAATTCCAAAATTGCATATACATAATTTTTTAACCTTATGCATTTCATATTTTGGTTTATTTTACTAAATTATTTAACAATACAAAAAAATGTTTCTACTTATTAAAAAAATGTTTCAGAATGTTGTTTTATGTGTCAAAAATTAATTTGTTTGGCATTGGATACGGAATATTTAGCAAGTTGATCTTAGATTGAAGAGTGCTCATATGAACTGGGTTTTACAAATTAATTTCACTTAAGATTTATATTTAAACAATAATGTTTATTAAATTATTAGTATGAAAAATGTACTTAGAAATTATAATTGCCAAAAAGAAACTATTATGTGGTACGAGATTATGAAAATTATAAACTAAATTATTAAAGCAATTATGTTGTATAATAAAATCAAGTGTGTTATTGTTCTTTTACCGCAGATACTACATTATTTTTTTCTGAATTTTTTATATTGATTAAAAAACTGCAATTCTCAATACATATAGCTTATGCTAAGGCAGGACATCGAATAGGATATTAAAAAGTATAGGATAGGATTTAAAAAAAATTGAACTTTTGAATTGTAGACGTGGGCACAGGACAACGTCTGTCGGGTCATCTAGTATTTGTTATAAATTTACTATATTACGATTCGGATACATATATAAATTGATTCAATTTAATTGCAATATAATATGTAAAAGACTTTGATGTCGGCTTTATTCAAAGTTTTTTTGATTTGCACATTTAATTTGAATATTGACTTATTGATTTTCCATTCATAAACAAAGATCTACAAGGTGTTTGCTAGAAATCTGCTGTATTATGATTCGGATATATATATAAATAAATTGATTCAATAAATTAATGATTTATTGAATGATAATATGTAATAGTTAGTTTGATACCGGTCTTTGTATTAAAAGGAGTTTTGCTGATTTTCACACTTAATTTGTATATTGACCACTTGATTTTTTATATCACAAAAATTGTGACAATGTTTGTTATAAATTTACTATATTGCAATTTGGATACGTATATAAAACGAATTAATTTAAATGTTATAGTATAATTGATAAGTCGCTCTCTGTTTGTTAAGGAGTTTTCTTGATTTTCACATTTATTTTGTGTGTACATATATTAGTTTCTTGATTTTGGATATAACAAAGATCTAAAATCAGAATTTTCAAAATATTTGTTATAAATTTGCTATATTATAGCTCGGATACATATACAAATTGATTTTTGCAATAGAACAATCGATTTTGATGTCGGTCTTTTCGATAAAGTTCGATAAAGAGTTTTGTTGATTTTGCTATTTAATTTTTATATTGGCTTTTTGATTCTGGATATCATCTAATTCTAGATAGAAATACAATGCGTTGAACTTTTTTCTTCTAATATTATTTCTAGTTAATTCTAAACTGTTTTTTAACATTTATCGTTTTATCATTGTTGAGTTATCTAAGAAACCGACAAATTTTAATTCTTATAAAATCTAATAAAATGTTTTTCGTTTTTCAGACAAAAACGTTAACGGTGGGTCCATCAGTTACCGCGGATGTTGTGGTACGTCAGGCTATATCGCTCTTCGGCCTTCCTGCACGTTGTCGCACAGACCTCAGACTGGCAGTCATCGAGACCTCATCTAGCAATGGTAGTTCAAGTAGTGGGAATAATAACTCAACTACGTTTCTCATTGGTTGCGAACGACCTCATGCAATACAAATGGCTAGAATTAGACAATCGCTCTCTAGTGAAGAAGGATTTGACCTGAGGCATGTAAATAGTAGACACAATCCTTGCTGCAACCTCATTTTCGAACTACGTAGCGTCAATAAAACTGTTATTAAAAGGTAAGTGAAACAATAGATCTACTCATGATTCGTAGATAATATAATTTTAAATCACATATTTTATCGTTTTTTATGAGAATTATTTTTATTGATATATAAAAAATGTAAATATTTTTATACTGATGTAGCTATTCTTATTATTAGTCTAAGTGAGTTACCAATAATCAATAGACTGAAATACGATTGAATTATTTGTGATATTAAAATGAAATGATTTTGAATGAAGAATAAATATTAGTTTGAATTGAAGTTATTCTAAATAAGATTTTTCCTTTCTAGGACACCGCTGAAACTGTTTCGTAGATCATCCGGCCGATTGTTCGGCGTAGCTCTGACCACTCTCTGCGCGCCCCTTCAAGGACAAGCCCCAGGTCCCGTGATAAGTATGCTAAGGGCTTTACTACTTCGCGGACCCTTGACCCAAGGAATATTTCGCAAATCGGCCAATGCACGAGCGTTAAGAGAGCTTCGAGATAAGATGGATTCAATAGGTCCTAGCGGAGACGCTAATGCCTTAATTGAATCAGCTCCGGTAATTCTAGTAGCAGCATTACTCAAGGACTTCCTCCGCAGTCTTCCAAATCCTCTTCTATGCACTGCTCTTTATGATAATTGGATGCGTGTTTTAACTCTTCCTTCTGTGAAGGAGCAATTAGCATCGGTTAGATCACTTCTTTTACAGTTACCGTCGTGCCATTTGACATTGCTCGCTCAAGTTCTTTCCGTGTTACATACAGTAGCGAGACGATCGTCAGTAAATCTTATGTGTGCTTCCAATTTAGGCGTCTGTGTAGGGCCTTCAGTTCTTTGGCCACCAGGACCTCCAATGCAATTGCATGAACCACGAGCGGTTCCGCAGTTGTTGCAATTATTGATAACCCATGCAGAAGAGCTATTCCACACGATACGAGCGGCAGGTTCTGAAACCATAGTTGCTGATTCAGGTGCTGAGGAAAGCGATAGCCTGCATTCCGTCGGATTATCTTTGGATTCATTAGAATTAGGTTGTGTGCGCAAAGAAAAATTATCTTTATCGCGTGACTCTGGCCTTACATTATCAGAAGATGATTCTATTAGCACTGGTGGACAAAGTCCGTCACCTCATGTTATATTCTGCAGAGCACCTCAGCAACAACAAGCTCAGCAGGTTAAGGTGCGTACGTTTGTTCCTCAGCAATATGTTAGAACAAAGAGTTCGGGTGATTTGTTAGATAGTACAAATGGACCAAGTTATTCAAGAGTTTATGGGGGATGGGAACAGCGTATATCTCATTACACACAACAACAATCTAATAGTACTGTAGAATCGACATTTAAGAGACGCGATTGGTCCCGACAAGCTTCAAGAACTAAAAGCAACGAGGGCGCTTCAACAGATTCTTCTCAGGATAGCGCTGGAGAATCTAAATGCCGAGACCAATGTCAGCAAAGAACTTTAGATCCGTCCCATGTTTGTTGCCGAAGTCCGTATTTCCGTACAGAGAAGAGCAAAATGTATTACGCACATTATAATAATCAAGACAAAGATTATTATGGGCGTCAAAAATCGCACATCAAGCAATCAAAATCGACGAGTGCTGTATCCAATCTATATTCAAATCTTAATAATAATACAGAAGCATTTTGTGATGGAATATATGGCACCGCAGAAACCTATGAAAACTCTCATTATGAAAATGTTTATGTTAATCGTGTAAATGCCTTTAGAGCTCCGCCTGTCCCACCCAGAAGGTTTGCTCATTTGACGGCAGGGCCTCAAAAGCATACTGTATCTTTAACAATAACTGAAGATAGGAATGCTAGATCTCGATCTCGATCTACATCCGTAGGACCTGTGTTTAGACCCCTAACTTCAATGCATGTAGCTAATGTAATATCCCTTCAAGATACAGATACAGAGTCAGAATCATATGTATGACCATGACCATTACAATATACTTTATACATTTAAGATATATCATGTGTTCGCCAAAAAGTGTGTTGAGCTCTGCCTTTGTGTTGCTAGAAGAAAATAATTGAATAATATATTACATTGAATTATCGTAAGTTCACTGATAATCAATTGTTAAAAGTAATTGCACAATAGCAACTACATCTTTATATAGATTAGTATAAAATATTTTTATATAGTGAATTAAACATATATTATCGAATATTAATTGAATGTTTTTGGCCATATTTATTTTTGTTTAATTTAAAGTGAATGTTTTTATCTATAAAAGAGGAGAAATATATCATGTTATTTCTTCACATTTTAATGCAGTTACAGTTTTCTAATGTTTATAAAAACATACAAAATAAAATGTAAATATGTATATTAAGCATAGTACATTGTTATAAAATATATTGTTGAAATATTTTATAATGGATCGTAATAGTAACATGTTTTTTGTTAAATATATATTGCTAGCGAATATATATGTGTATAGTACTATCTATGTGTAATGTAACCCTATTGTATATGAAAAGAACATTTAAGTTTAATTCAATTAGTTTTAGTTTATATAGAAGTTCTGATAATTATTAAATAATTAAGCAGAATAGCTATTGTTATATCTTATATATGTAGACATTACATTTTTGTATCATTCTGTATTGCCATAAACAAATTATCAAATATTTACTTAAAACTGTGTTTTATTTGAACAAATTCATATCTTGTGTTTTGTATGAAAGAAGAAGAAAATAAAAAACTAATCTAAGTTATTATCATGTAGATAATATGCACAATAATTCATTTTTATTATTATTCACTTGTCAAAATAATAGCATTAAGTTTTTCCATTGATTTTTAAGATGCTACAATTAAAATTATTTCGGGCGCATTCTATTTAATTTTTTGTAGGATCATTGTTCATAAGTTGTGATAAATATTAGTGAATTCAAGCTCTGGTACATTATTGAATTTAAATTAGAGACAAAAATGCAGATTTCAATTTTCAAAGATATATCCACGGATTTTTAAACAAAGTTTAATCCGTTTTATTTTTATCAAATATTCAAAGATATCTATCCATGGATTTTTAAACAAAGTTTTAGCTGTTTTTTTAAATTTATCAAAGATTTTGATGATGTATTCATGAATTTTTAAGCAAATGCACAACTAGTTTTCAAGAATTTCATAATTCTCAAAAATCTAGTTTTGCAGTTTTTAAAAAAATTTAATGCTTTTTTAACATCTCGTAGGTCAAGTTATAGTAATCGCAAAAAAATCGAAAATGATTTTTTTTATATATCTTTACGTTTCAGAGGTTTCTGAACATTTTGGCATACCTTAGAACAAATGAATGAATGTGTGTGTGTGTGTGTGTGCGGATACAAATTTTCGTCGACGATTTCGGGAACACCGATCAACCGATTTGAATAATTCAAAAAACATTCGATTTGTATTGATAAGGAGACGTGCTGATTAGTTTTTGGCAAAGGCAGGTCTGGCCGTTTCGAAGATACGGGGCAAAAAGTGCTACAAACGGTAACTAAGTTTTTAAGAGAACGAAGTATCCGATTTTGATAATTCAAAAACCATTTTACTTATATTAACAAGATGCACAACTGATTAAATTTTCATGGTGGCAGGTCTAGCAGTTTCGGAGATCTAGTGAAAAAAAATGCTATTTGACGGTCAAAAATGATTATTAGACATATGTACATATAATTATCAGATATTTTATAGAGATTTTAACAATAAGTACAAATTTTGTTACATTCTTATGGGTTCCGTACCAATATTGGTACGGCCGTCTAATGGATAAACATATGTTTATCCATTAGACGGCGACGCGGCGCTTACGCGCTTTGATATTTTGTCTTATGCAGTTAAAGCAGTACGATTGCTTTGAAAAAAAGTTCAGAACTTCCAAAATATTTCAAAATAAAGAAAACATTTTTTTTTCCAAAAATTTTTTTTTTTCAAAAATTTATAATTTCTCAAAAATCTATTTTTTTCAAAAATGTTAATCTTTTTAAAAAAAATAATTTTCGGTACGGGAAGTTCCAGCAATTTGCCTTAAGGTACAATGCCATGCGCCACTAGCCTCATAGTTATGTTGTCCAGGAACAAGTGACGGCACCTATAATTCTTTTCCCATTTCCAGCGCCGAATGCCGCGCTTAGTGCATGCGAGCGTCGCTGTCGCTGTCGCGTTGCACTTGAAAGGTGAGCATGAGTTGCGTGCTTTGTTGTGATTTCATTCCATTACCATATAGTCAACAAAAATGGCCGAAGAAAACGTTTCAACTGAGTCATCCGGGCTGTTCACGGGCCTCTTTTACGAAATTATACAAAGTCCTTTAAACCTTTTACTAATCGGCTTAATTGCCATCCTGGTGTACAAAATAATTAAGAGTAGACAAAGCATAAACAGACCAGTGCACGTAGAACCACAACTGCCAAAGCTAAGGAAAGACTTTACAGTCGAAGAACTCAAGAAGTTCGATGGCAATCAACCTGATGGTAGAGTTTTAGTCGCTGTTAATGGAAATGTTTATGATGTTACTAAAGGGAAAAGATTCTATGGACCTGGTAAATAGATTTGAATTATTCATAACCTTAAACCTCGTAGTAATGTAATTAATATGCAATTATTACTAAAGGGGGTCCATACTCTGCATTTGGTGGCAGAGACGCCTCCCGCGGTTTGGCTACATTTTCGGTGACAAGTTCAGATAAGGAGTATGATGACCTTAGTGATTTAAATTCTATGGAAATGGAGTCTGTACGAGAATGGGAAATGCAATTCAAAGGTAACTATATGCAGCCAGTTTCAAATTTCATAGTTTTACATTATAAATTTCTTAAACCCTTCTGTCCAAGAGGGGTAAAGCTGCAAACACTTTAAAATCCTCTAAGTAGGTTTAACAATTTTTAATGTTTTTTAAGCTACTTTTTTATTACTATTAAAATTAATTGTATATCTACTTTTATGTTCCTCTAATAGTCCAGTCACTGAACCTTAATTTAGGTAAGAATCTCAGATTTTGATATACCCAGCTGTAAGTCTGTAAATACTTGTATATTGACACCTAAAAGTTGTCTCAAAACCTACATATCTTAGGGTGTATGCAACATATGTAGGTTTTGCGACAACTTTTAGGTGTCATTATACAAGTATTTACAGGCTTACAGCTGGATATCTCGAATTCCGAGGTGAACTTACTATAATGACTGGTCTATAACACAATTAGTTTTTATGGGAAATTGCTCATTGTGGAAAATTGTTACAGGATTCCAAGTATAAATATGAATAACTTATATTTAATTATAATTTAATTAGTTCTCTCATGAATAATAAATTCACAATGCATTTCCCCATATTTTTTGTAGATTATATTTATGGCTGTTTTATCAATGGTAGTTATTTAGTAGTTATAAAATATTTAATGATGCAATGCATCATTAAAACAAAAAAGTCAAAATAAGAGTTTGAATATCATAAAAACTCAGATAGTTCCGTTATGTCCAAATAGGGTAACCCCACAGAAGTTTAAAATCTTCTTCAAAGTTGATTTAAAAATTTTTAATGTTTTTCCAAGCTATTTATTTATTACTACTAAAATGAATTATATAGCTCTTCATGGAAAATTGTTATAAGATTCCGAGTACTAGTATGAATAACATATAAATAATTATAATTTAACTAATTACTCATGAATAATACATTTCCACATATTTTTAGTAGATAATATTTATGGCTTATTTTATCAATGATAGTTATTTAGTAGTTAAAAAATATTTGTTTCAATAGCAATGATGATGCAATGCTTAAAAAAAAATCTAAATAAAAATTTGTATAGCAAACAGAAATTTAGATTACATTTATACATATTGTTCCTATTTTATTATAATGCATATAAAAAAAAATTATCTTTGTAGGCTTCTTAAGAATAATTGACTGGACTTCTCAAAATTCAATATTTTCAGATTTTAAAAAAATTTAAAACTTTTTTTTATATCAATGATTTAGTTATTTAGTAGTTAAAAATATTTGTTTCAATAGCAATGATGATGCAATGCTTAAAAAAAAATCTAATTAAAAATTGTATAACAAACGGAAATTCAGATTGTGTTTACTCATTTGGTTCCTAATTTATAATAATGCATATTAATAAAATAAATTTTCTTTGTAGACTTCTTAAAAATAATTGACTGGACCTTTCAGAGCTTTATCATTTTTATGGTACTTTTTTTTTGAATTCAATCATTTCATTAATTTTATTATTAACTTGTAAATATTTAAATTAAAAGATAAAATTACAATTGATGCTTTCATTATTTATATTCAAAAATATATATGTAATTTTATTGATATGAGCAAATGCAGAGTTATTATTTTTGGATATTATATTTTGTTTTATTGTTAATGAAACTTTGTTTGTTTTAGAAAAATATGATCTTGTGGGTAGACTTTTAAGACCAGGTGAGGAACCGACAAACTACTCAGATGAAGAAGAGGAAACTCCAACACCTTCGGGAGAAAAGACCAAGGATGAATAATGTATATGTATATATATGTTATTTGGTTTTATATATTGGTTAATTTATAATTATTGTATAATATAATTATAGAGCTTTTAGACATTGTCAAGTTATTACGTAAGTGTTAATTTTTTTATATAAAAGTTTATATTTAAATTAAGCTATTTAAAAAGCAATGTATCTAATATATTTGTTACAATTTGCTGCATTGATAAATTAAATGAATTGTAACAGAAATCTAACACAAAGCACAAGCTATGATTTATATTTTGTGTTGCAGTATTTTAACATTTTGTTTAAATTATAAACATTAATAATGAATTATGAAATTTTTTCATATAACTGCAGATTGATTTGATGTTTTGCTGATTTATATAGTGGACCAACTTAATAACTTATGTGTTCAAATTTGTGGTGGTATGGTTATAGTATTTTTTGTTGACATTTTCATACTTTTATGCTGAATCTTAAAAATATAACTATGAAGACTGCATAATATCATCTTGAATAAATTCCACGTAACTTTTATATTAGGGTATCAGGTTAAGTGTTAAAATTTTATTTCTTTGTGTAAAGTTATATGAATTGGTATCAGAAGAAATACATCACTGTTATGGACATGATTAAGATTGTTGTATTTATGTCAATAGTGAGTGTAGAATTAAAAATTTGTCTATTGGAAATATGCATTTATTAAACGTATTTGATTAAATCCATTGAAATCATTTATATATATGTAACTATATTAATTGCAGTGATTTTCACTATTAACTTTCCTAGAGATTTTATTATTTTTTCAGAAATTCATTTGGATCAATTGTGATAGTTATTGTGAAAATGGAAGTCAAATGATAAAATATGTAAGTTATTTAGTTATGTTTAATTTGAAGAAAAAACAAGATAAGCAGTATTGATCGTGTGCCTTCAATTATAACAATGAGATTACCAAGTCAATACTAATCTAGTTCTACATTGTACACCGAAGGCTCGATAACTTAATACTGGGAATATTTGAGATGCATCTGAAAAGAATTAAACAATGCACTTTTTATTATAACAATGTTAGTTCATTTTATACTTGGATGATGGGATTATAAGAAGAGAGTTTTTACTAAGGTATTAACTTAACAAATAGTTTTTTTATTAAGTTCAGCAGTTTATTTTAACTGTTTTTTCTAATTATACCACATGCATAGTTCTTGATAAGTGAATTGTTTGCAAATTCAACATTATTATTATTATCCACGTAGGGATATTGAGTCAGAAAATCAAACTATTGCATCATACAAAGAAAGATTTTGTTTGGGTCTATAAACTGTAGGAACTTTATTTAATATATATTCTGTTATTGGTTTAATTTGAACTGTTGATCCGGATAATAACTCAAAAACCTAATCACCAATAAAAATGCTCACTGTATTTTGTATATTTTAAGAATTTTTTAGAAACACTCACCATAATTATCCAAAAATGCTTTTATTTCTGTGTTACTATGACCTTCCATCCAGCTTAGCTGCATCATTATATCGTTTTCGTTCTCAAACTTATCATCAGAATTGATGATGCCTTTAAAATCACTTTCTTTTAATTAGGTAATAGGGTAAAATAATAACAAATTATTTTATTGTTATTTATTAATTGTTTTAAAAACAGTATGTAATATATATTATAAACAACTATTTGATAGCAAACAAACAATAAAACTGAAAGAAAACTTCTATTGAAAATATCACAAAAATTAAGCCCAACCTGGCCTTTAAAACTTGGTTTATGCTGTATCATTTTATTCTTATATACAATATACAAGAACGGACGATAGTTTTAAAAAATCAAAGTTCTCAATCACATATATTAATAAGTTGGCTGCACCTAATCTTTGAAACCACTGACTGAAAACTGTCAAATAATTATGGTGGCAAACCTGTAGTCAAGCAGTTACCTTCACACACTGTTTGATTTTTTATCATTATGACTTTTATTTGTCAAATTTTATTAAATGATATTATTTTAAATATGTTTTAATAATTATGAGATACATTGGTTTTTACATAAATTAGTTATAAGTGTAATATGTATTAACTAAATCAATTTTTTAAATCGCTCACTCCTATTACTAATTAACGTTAAATGTATTTTTTGGTTACCTCTATGAAAGTGGTCCCAATGTTTACTTACAATTAAACAATAACTTGATGAATGTTCTGTTATATTAATACATTTCAATTCTTGTTATTTGACAAAATAATATTTTTCTGTAATGGGTAAAATTGAAGTGCTAGATCACCTGCCAAAAACTGTCCTTGATGAACATTCTAATTGTGACTCACTAACAAATGCTAGCATAATGCTAGAAGCCGCTTTAAGTCAAATGGATGATATTTTATCAGGTACATAAATGAAATTACTGTAATTGAAATGGAATCTTGTTCTAATCAATTTCATTTTAATTGGAAGGTCCCATGTTGAGGTCTAGTAGTTCTTGTAGTAATGATGTTTTGACAGCTGCTAGAAATCTGGCGGCAGCTTTAAATAATTCAGAAGAAGACCCAGTTACTACTTTGGAACCAGAGGTTACTAGTTCTATTTCAAAATGGATAAACAATCAGGTAAAACATTTAAATATTCTGTTAAGCTTAGTAATCGGCTTAACATCAATAAAAAACATGAATTTCTTTCAAAAATTTATTTTACATTCATACGTTTTGGCTATAACTCTAGCCTTCATTCAGTGGAAAAATTATTTAATTTTAGTGTTAAATTAGGAATTTCTAATAATTCATGGTATCAGAATATGGTAATGCACTACACTATGTAATATAAACATTAAACTTGTAATTAAACAATATTCTACAAAATACTGACTTTAAAAAATCACAGATAGAAAGTGTGTAATTTATGACGTTCGTAAAGTCATAACATATGAAATTTTTGAAAGAAATTCATGTTTGTTATTGTTGTTATGCCCGATTACTAAACTTTGTTAATATATTTGTATACATATGTATATATATATATATATATATATATATATATATGCCTGTTTTTCCATATTTTTTTTTGAAAAGACAGTAATGCATTCATCCAATGCAAGTTTGATCTTTTTATTCCATAGCAGCCCGAATTTGCTTTGGATGGATAATTTTCTATGTGTTTTTAAAGAAATGTTATTTAAAAAGTTATTATTGACAGTTTGTAGTATTGCAAGCAAATCATTTAATCATTTTTATGCTTTTATTAAATGTTATATTTGGTTTCAAAATTTTTTTGCATCTACTGATGGTGTACATTCATAAAATTGTAAGTCGAAAAGTCTGGAAAAATAAAGGTGCTTTAAATAAATATATAATATATATATATATATATATATATATATATATTATATATATTATCAATTTTATTCAATTTTTAATTATATTAATTATGGTTCATCTAACATTTCGATGAAATTTAATTCTTTGAACTGTACACTGTTTTATATTTATTTAAAGAATCATCATTGAGATTTAGAAAGACAACCACTAATATAATATATTATATTACATTTGTAATATATATATATATATATATATTATATATATATACATACATATATATATATATATATATATATATATTTATATATTTATATATATATATATATATATATACATATATATATTTAGGTAAATTACTCATATCAACGAAAACCCAGAGTTAAATTTTTTCAAAGTTGCAAAGTATTTTGCAAACAACAACTAATACTAATGTTATGTTTAAAGGATTTCATAATAATTATCATAATTAATTATAAATTACTAGTGTAATAGTAATTAATTATTCGCTTTTGCTAGAAAATTATCTGGATGTATCTAGAGAAATTCTACGAATTTACTTACTGGTTACTTGATTTGTTATTAATTGATAATACGCCAACCACTGTATGTTAGAAATCATATTACAGGTTGAAAGAGTACTAAGGCCTTGTAGTAGTTACCTATTGAGGATATTTTATTTTTATCAAGGTATATGAAGGCATTGTTCAAATTGATTAAAATTACAAATTAAAGTTTGTCGAATATATATTCTGCATCTATATATTATTGTTCATTTATAATATTGTTAGTAATGCTGGGATGAATTTATTGATTCAATCAAATTTGTATTACTGGGGTTAATATTCATCAAAAAAATATTAACATGTTTTCGAATTTCAATGCATTGTGACTTAAGGTTAGAACAAGATATGAAATACACTTATTTAAACTTATTAAAATTTAGTATATAAGTGTAAATTACATATAAATATACATCTATAACATGCAGAGAATATTTTGTGGATTATTGACTAAAACACTTCAATCAGGATATTAGATGTGTAAAATAGGTAGTACTTAGGTAGTACTTAAATAATTAAAATTAAAGTCATACCAAATTTAAAAGTTGATATATATATACATATATATATATATATATATATATGCATATATAATCAAAATTAATTAAGTCGTTCGTATTATCTATTTTAGCGAACTTTTGTCTATTTTGCTACATGGAATGATTTTGAATTTCGTACTACGTACCTCAAATGATATTTCAATGCAAATATACATACATCAATTTAAAACAGATCACAATATGTATTATTCTTCTAACACTCTTTCAACCAACAAATTCATTGATATATTTTGAAATTACGAGAACCGTCGAACTTTGTCTTTTCTTCAGTACAACTGGAATGGAACTATTTCGTCATTAATCTCGACATAGTTTAGTTTCCTCAACAAATAAACATTCTAGGAATGTTAGCAATAACAGATTCGATTCCAGAATATATACAAGCGTCTATTTTTGATTGTTTCCGTTCGATGCTAGATCCTCCTGGTCAATTTGTTTGAAATAGTTGTTGCAGCATCACGAATTCGTAATGGCATGTTTATACTGGAATTGTGTACCAATAATAAACTATTTATAGTTTTATGGTTTTTGGAGCAAATATTTATGATTGTTGATCAAACATTTGTCGGTAAGAAGTGCAGAGGCCAAATATATAAAAAATACTTTTATTTTTCATAAATTTCATTAGCTTTTTTATTATTATACAGTAAAATTTACACAAATTATAATAGGATAACAGGTTAAATTTTAAGAACCGAAGATGGGCTGTAAAAAAAAACAAAGCCTGTGATTTTGAAATTGACGGAATTTAATATATAATGAACTTCTTATTCAATCTTGCTTTGGTAGTGTTGTGTTGTGGCTAGCTAGTGAGTTTTAGTGATCCTCGAGGCGGCTTTTGTATTTGTGTGAATGAGTTTGTATTTCATCGTTTAATACTGTGTTGATGTTGACGTAAACATGGATTAACTATAATTTGGAGTATACTTTAGGGATAAAACATTGAATTTTTAAGACAATTCATCAGTTTGAGGGAATCTTAGTGATTAATCTATTAATTTTCAAGTTATCATGCAATTTTTTATATATATTTTAAGTATATTTCACATGTTGTTTATATGTATTTTTAAATGCTATGAAAGGATGTATAGATATTGTATTAAAACTTAACATACCATTGAAAATAACGTTACAAACAACATATATGAAGTATTATTATTATAAAGTATCGGTTAAATTATTAATTATATATTTGTATTTAATGAAAAAACTTTGGAGAATTGTTAAACTTTGGAAAATTGTTAAATGATTTACAAATTTGATTATCTCCTGTTGAAATTTGCATTTGAATGCAGTAAAGCTATTATACGAGAAAATCTAGAAAACATTTTATTGAATTGTTTGTATAAATTTTATTTCATAGCAATGATTTTGATTTTGATTTATCCAGAATTTTGTAGAGAATCAGAATTTATTCAACTTTTCACTTCAGGGGGCGTCTATTAATCACGTGAGGTTTTTAGAGGAGGGGGCATAGTAAAAATGAAAAATTTTACAATTTTTTCTCGTAACTAAAAATACACGTGATATTTGGTGGGGGGGGGAGTAATTTTGAATATAACCACATATCACCAAGAGGAGGGGGGTCCAGAAATCCTTAAAAAATCGATCACGTGATTACTGGACGCTCCCTTAGGTAATTCAAAATATTTTTCCAAAATAGAATTTGTTATTGAGATTTCAAATTTACTTTTTTATAAGTAATAATTAATCGCTCATTGCATTTTAATAGCTACCAATAAATAGCTCCTTTTTATAGCTGTGCTAACTTTTAATAGTCTGTTATTTCGAAAAATACTTAGATATTTGAGTTTATTGGTATTAGAATTTAAAATGAAGAATTAAAATTTTTAATGCTTGTACATGTAAGTTTAATGGTAAGCAGTGAAGTACTGGCACCAAATGTTTTATAGTTTTAGTTAGCGCGAGCTATCTTTAATCCTTGTGCCATATGGAGGTTGTGTTTGCTCGTGCGTGTAGCTTCAACTATCCTAAAACTGCAAGAATATATATATATATATATATATATATATATATATATATGTGTATACAGAGCCGGATCAGACTAATGGTTAACTTTTAGATATATTCTTCAGGAACTATAGATAACAAACAAAATTAATTTATTATACATTTATACATTTATATAATTATTTTCAAATTGAAAGAATTCACTTTTTACTTTAATAGTTTAAACATTTTCCATATCAAATACTCAACAATCGAAACGCAGCAAAAACTAAGTTTGGAATTACGTCTACACTTTACACTTTACAGAGTACTTTTTTATTAAAATTTTCTATTTTTATTTTTTCGTGTTTATTATCTGTTATCTTAATAATTTGTCTGCTCATTACCTATAATCCTATTACTTCATATATCCGTTTTTCATCTGTATATTATGTCAATATATAAAACAAAATGTAGTTCCTGAGAAGTGGACATAATATATCCCTGAAATCGAACAAAATAATTTAAAAAGAAGATAGATAATATTTTTAAGAAAAAAAATATTTTACTTCGAAAATTTAAAAATCATAATTAATAACAGCTATCAAGAAAAAAATGAACCATAATTAAAAAAAAAAAAACAAAAAAATCAATAAGTTTTTAGAAGATGTTGGATACAACGGTTTGGAACTAGATGCGTTTTGTCATTCTATCATCAAGGATAAGTTGATGATTACTGAGGGTTAAATCTTATACATATTCATTAGAGAAATAAGTATATTATAAAGTATATAAATGCAGTCTGCAGTACTTTTGAATATTTCACTTGCATTGCTTCAAAAATGAATAATTATACATTTTTATAATATACTATAAATTCATCAGTATTATAGTATATTAATGTTAAATAGGGTTGTCTGAATGACTTTCAACTTTTATATTTATTTTTTCTTTTGTGATATGTTTTTGGAGTTTATCTAACAGCCCTGAATTATATATATATATATATATATATATATATATATATATATATAATGCGCTCAAACATACTATGGTAGAAGAATTATATTACTAACCGCGCATCAGACAGACAACGCATCCGTGAGGCAGTCTTACTAAAGTCTTCAAGTGAATAAGAGCCATGGATTTAAATTCTTATCTGCACGAATTCAGTATTGTTTTGATGTTATTGAATTTCTTTATTCAATTTTGTTTATGATCA